GCCCATCAAATGCTAGCCCACGTGGACTTTCTTGACGCGTGTGCACCTGTGTTGACTGGGGTGTTCCCTGGACCTCCCCTTCTGACCTTCAGATGCATCTTCCAGGACACTTGGCAAGCTTCAGCGCTGGGTGTTTGGTGGACGTCTGGAATTGTGGAGTACCTAATCATATTGCAAGGAAAAATAGAAAGATATATGGGGGACCTGGGAATCGAACCCAGGTCCCAAGGCTTGCCAACAAAGTTCCCAACCACTACACCATTCAACGCATTCATAAATAATATACAAAACAAATGTAATGATTAAAAAAGTCACGCTGATGATAAAACGCGCTAAAAATTCAAATAACCCAATCATGAGAGGCCACGCAGGCTTCGTCTTCGTTGTTTCGTTTTGCCCTGAAAAAAAACAATTAGATAGCGGGGGTTTTAAACCCCCACTAAGTGATAAACAGGATAATAGCGATTAGCATATGGTGGCTCATAAATTGAGCGCGACTAGTACAATCAATTCGTGTGAAGCTTCTGGTTTTAATGGTCTTGGTTTCGTGTCTCAATTTTTCCAGAACAAGGAAGCCCTAATTTCACAACCTTGAAAACCTAGCAAGCTTCCATGGCAGATTCACGTACAAAGCATGAAAACTCAATTAAATGGCATGGTTAGCTTTAGAATGATTAACTTAATATAAATCAAGCATTAGAAATTGAAAATAATGCATGAATCATGAGACATGAACATGAAAAAAGTTATGAACAGGACGGGTTCGTCCTACCAATTCCTCGCGTTAGAAGCAATGGTTTTGATCCATAAACGTTCCTTGAGGCCTCAGGAATGTAATGGGATTGTTCTCTTGCCTTGAAACTCTCTGCAATATTGTTTTCAGTTTTGAAAAATTTGATAAAAAATGCAAAGTGTGTTTTGGTTCTTAGGCGCAGCTTTCTGGTTTTTTGCATTAGGTTTAGCTTCTGACTTATGTATGGGATGGATTAGGGTTGAATTTTGAGCCAAAAGATCAATGCATTGATGTATCCAATATTTGATTTTAATGGCATATTTCTTCAAATCTTTTCCATGTGTTTTGATGCCAATCATGACCAAATCACCTTGATTCTTTCCATATTGGATAGTGCACGAAATCTTGAAGGTATTCTATGCACAAAAAGATTTAAAAAGCATGGATGAGTATTTTTTTCATATTTTATTTAATTAAATGAATTAATGGTGATTAAAAATTCAAATAAATAATAAAAAAATGATGAAATAACTCCCCTTGGGCCAAATGGTCTTGCATAGCCTTTGGATGATGAATCTTGGAAGAAAATGTGGCCCATTAGCAATTTTGAGGCATTTGAAGTAAAGTTGACTTTTCAAAATTCCCAAAAATTTCCCAACTTCCACAAGGCATATCTTTCTCAATTTTTAAGCTTTGATCATGTTCTTTGACATTTTGGAAAGGTCTTGAAGTCCTCTAACCAATGCCTTTGGTCCCATGTCATTTTGATTTACCAATCTCAAGTTATGGTCTTTGACTTAAAGTCCCTTTTTGTTGACTTTTGAAAATGACCTATAATGTTGGAATTGATAACTTTTTGTGAGAGCATTTCTTGGACTTGAAGTGTGAAGAGGAGTTGTAGGAAATGTCTTTCTCTTCAAAATGAGCTTTGGATGGAATTTTTCTGATGAACCATGTGGAAGTTATGCTTTGGTCAAGTTACAGTTGACTTTTTCAACTGTCCAAATATGGAAACTTTTGCATCTTGAGACTTTTTGAGCCATGCCTTGAAAATCATGATCAAGAATTGATCAAATGATGTTTGTGGCTTCAAAATAAGATGTTGACCAAAATTTGAACTTTTGACTGTCAAATGACCATTTTGCCCCTGCAGTTGACTGTAGGGCAATTAGGGTTTTTGACTGTGCAATTTTTTGCTGTAAGTCTTGAAACTTGACATGAGGATGCTTGACCTTGTTTATAGGCATGTGGGACTTGTTTGGACCCTTGGAAGCTTCATTTTCTTTGTTAGAACCAAAACCCTAGTTTTTTGACTGTTAGGAGGCCCTTGAACTGTGCAACCCTTGGGGAGATTTTGAAGCATGCTCTTTGCAATTCTTGAAGAATATGGGAGGGCAAATTTTGGGGTACAACAGTTGCCCCTGTTCAATCTTCTTAGACCTGAGGATGTAGATTGGCTGACGTGCCTTTCGTAATCCGAAGGTGGAAGATGATTGGACACTAGAGTGCCCAGAAATTTGCGCTCACATAATAGTGTGATGGGGGAATGGGCTTATAGATGCCATTTGGAGATTGATGGATAAGATGATGGGCTTATAGATGCCATGCTAAGAGATGATGGAAAGTGGATGGGCTTATAGATGCCATCTGGGTGTCGATCGCGTAAGAGATTCCTTAGTGAAAACTTGCGTACCTGCAAAAGAAAATGATTACCTGGCCTGTGACAGGAGCTGGTCTTCAAACTCTTTGTGTAGATGTGCCCTGACTGGTTACAGGAGTTGAATCTGTAGCTTCAAAAGGTGATGAATTAACCAGGGATGGTTACTACCTCAACGGGACGGTGAGAGAACCTTGGATGACTACTACCTCAACAGGAACGCTGAGAGAACCTTGGGGCGATTACTACCTCCACAGTAATGGGGAGAGAACCTTGGATGATTACTACCTCAACAGGAACGCTGAGAGAATTTGGGGACGATTACTACCTCAACAGGGACGCTGAGAGAATCTGGGGACGATTACTACCTCAACAGGGACGCTGAGAGAATCTTGGGCGACTTCAACCTCAACAGTAATGCTGAGAGAATTTGGGGACGATTACTACCTCAACAGGAACGCTGAGAGAATCTGGGGACGATTACTACCTCAACAGGGACGCTGAGAGAATCTTGGGCGACTTCAACCTCAACAGTAAGCTGAGAGAATCTGGGGACGATTACTACCTCAACAGGAACGCTGAGAGAATCTGGGGACGATTACTACCTCAACAGTAACGCTGAGAGAATCCTGGATGTCTTCTACTGAGTCTTTATCAGGAAAATCTTTTAGGGATCGATTTAACTGGACTAGAGAAGGCCTTTGACTGGATAAGAAACAGCAAAATCTTAGGGTCGATTTAACTGAACCCGACTAGGTCTTGGAATCTTCAACTGGATAAGAAACAGAGAGATCTTAGGGTCGATATGACTGAACCAAAGAAGGCCTTTGACTGGATAAGAATCAGGAAAATCTTAGGGTCGATTTAACTGAACCGGTCTAGGTCTTGGAATCTTCAACTGGATAAGAAACAGAGAGATCTTAGGGTCGATCTGACTGAACCAGAGAAGGCCTTTGACTGGATAAGAATCAGGAAAATCTTAGGGTCGATTTAACTGAACCGGTCTAGGTCTTGGAATCTTCAACTGGATAAGAATCAGGGAGATCTTAGGGTCGATCTGACTGAACCGGAGAAGGCCTTTGACTGGATAAGAAACAGAAAAATCTAAGGGTCAATTTAACTGAACCGGTCTAGGTCTTGAAATCTTCAACTGGATAAGAAACAGGGAGATCTTAGGGTCGATCTGACTGAACCAGAGAATGCCTTTGACTGGATAAGAAACAGAAAAATCTTAGGGTCGATTTAACTGAACCAGACTAAAGTCTTGAAATATAGCTGAGAACTTGATTGGATCTTTCCTGAAAGGTAAAGGTCAATCATATGCAATGCATGATATGGATCAAGTAAGGATGTTCTCACGTAAACGAGATTGTATGTTTATGACGCTTATATGCATGCTATAATGTATGGAAATGCGATGTTTATGAATGTATGTTTTCGTCTAGGAAAGTAAGTCCTTGACGGGTGCCGGGAAGTCACTCCTGGGCTGATGTTGAAGAATAGATTTTTTGCTTCCGCTGGGGATGATAGTTGCAAGAATACCGGTAGGAGAAGATAACTCCGTTGGGGAATAAACTTTGGCAAATGGATTACTCTGCGGGGAGAAAAGTACTCTAACGATCTTGCTGGGGAACAATACTCTGTGGGGAGAGAGGTACTTTGCTGAAATGTTGATGGTAACTTCGCTGGGGATACCATTGATGTTAGAAGTGTTAATAGACTTCGCTGGGGATAAGAAGACTTTGCGGAGGGCGATCTTCTCATGGCTTTTGGCTGAGGATAACCCAGTTATATCCTGGTAGGGAAATAACTCTTTGAATAAAGCCGGGAGACGCGTTCGTGCTCTGCGAGGGATAAGCTTCCAGAATCTACTGGGGATAAGCTTACTGCTTGGGGAGATGGATCCCAACCAGAGAATCCGTAGTTGCTAAGGAAGAGGGTCGAGCCATAACGGATTAATGTGGCGTAGCAGCGACTGGAATCGATCTGAATGAAGCTTCAAGCGTAGTTCTGGGGCTTCTCCTATACCCCCACCTATATGGAGTGGAGGAAGATTTGGTGGGGAAGGTCATAGTGAAGTCAGCAAGAAGGAAAGTAGCTGCCCCTCTTTGATTGTGCACAGCCCCTGCCACGAGACACCTAATCGAAGAAGCGCCTTCCTCTCATCTTTTTTAGAATTCAACATCCAGTTCATAGAGAACTGCCTACTCCCACCTCGACCGAGAAAGAGATCTAAGGCTTCTTTTAAGAATGTAAAGCAGGAATAGATGGCCTGCCCCCAGCTCTCAAAAATTTCTAGATTTTTCTATCAAAGGAGTGCTTTCATTCCCTGCCACCCGCTTTTATAATTGGTTGTTCCTTACCGACATCTCAAGAAAAAATCTTTCATGATCCATTCTTCCGGAATTGGATAGAGAATAGTTGGGATATTCCACTAGGAGGGAGAGGCAGGGTGACATCAGAAGTAGGATCGTCGAACGGATAGCAGCATAACATTGAGAATTGACTCATCGGATTAACCACTTAGACGAAGAGTTCCCCATATTCCATTTCATTGGCAACCGAAATAGATCTAAACAGCATGCCCGGAGCGAAGGAAGGGCTTCAAAAATGAATGGAAAAGTCAAATCAATGAAAGGCCCAGATGTAGCCTTTGTATGCGGAGCAAGCCTACACTGGCTGGGATGAAGAAAATGTCGACACCGATGAAATGTTTGAAAACATAGACAGCGGAAGGGAAGAAGTCACTCTCAATCCGATCTAGCAAGAAATGCTATACCAATAAAGTCAAGCGAGAGAGCTCATTAAGAAAGAAGGCCATCTTCCATCCGCCTTTTTGTTTTAGACAGGGCGAGGCTAGTACGAGACTCCGAACCACGACGGATCTTATCTTAGGAAAGATAATGGGACGGGAGGCCTATCTGACCTTTTGTTTGATTCCATTTTCCAACCCTTTCTTTAGAACCAACCTGGAATGCAAACAAGGAAGGAAAGGGCTGAAATATCCATATCTGATCCAGCAAAAAAAACCTGACCTTAGTAGTGATAGAGATAGCATAGCTGTAGACAGGGGGAGGGCCCGAATTACCTTTTCTATTAGAATAAGGAAGGGAATCGCTTTGATTGCTTGCGACAGCTTATCGATGCTCGTTAGCGGTGAAGTCCCTCAAACCAGAAGTTTCAAAAGCGGGCCTACGAGATAAATTCACTTTACATACTGATATAGCATACCGAAGGGAAGGCCTAATTGTACCACTCCCCCTGACCTTCCGCCTGAACTGATAGAAGTTGGCTTGAGCTGAGCGTATCTTACAAAAAAGGTGCCCTAGTCGCCTCGGTGGAATGCATTGAAGAAAGGAATCCACTCTCAACCCTTTCATTTTATTTAATAGAATGGTAAGCCGGTCTTATTCTTTTATACGAGTAAACAACTTCTGCTCTAACTCCTTGAGGAAAAAGTCTTGCATCTCGCCCAACTCCTACAAAGCCCATCCCCAAAGGAGAAAAGGAAGTTATCAGCACCGATGTTACTAACCTTATGCTTCGCCAATCTTTATATGCCACAGGGAATCGATCGGTTGAATCTGTTGCAAGCCTATCTTCCGAACCCCGCATCAAAGTCTTGTCACCGTGCCCGCTTGGGGTTGGGGTCTGTCTGAGTAAGGAAAGAGCTCGTAGCCACGTTATCGGTCTTGTATTTTTGATAACCTTGAGACCGGCGAAGACTGCGCTCCAGCTGGTGGTGAAGGAAAGAGGGAAGGAACTATAGAATAGAAGGAGCTGGACATGAACCGTCACGGTCTTTCTGGTGAATCAGTGCTGTTTGCATAGCACTCATAGGCTCTGGGACTGATGACCTTACTCTTCTAGTCTTTTCCAGTAAGCCTTGTTGGATGACTCAGAGCTCTTGTGCTCCCTCTTTTCAATATCCCTTTGCTGTCTTCGTAACCGCAGTGAGAGTAGGAGCTCAAGCAGTTGCCGCTGCAAGACTAGCCGCTCTTGAGTAAATAGAAGCTCTTACCACGCTTGATGGTGAATAAGCCTTGGAATCCGTGTTGAGAAAGCATCCAATTCCTATTACAAAAGCATATCCCTTATCTAATTAGAAGGAACTACTTTCCGCCAAAGTGACAACGGGGAAGGAAAGCAAGGGACTGATTACACTAGTCAAACATGCCTAGAAGAGGAGGAAGGAAAGGTTGGTTGCATGTTTTTTTCCCGTGTGGGAGTAATGCCTCCCTGCCGATTGCTTTATCTCTCCCCCTATCTCTAAAGGGGGACTCAGTCCTATCAACATATAGAGATCTGCCTCTGTCGCTGCATAGAGTGATCTTCTTCAATCACCTTTCAATCTCCGAGTTCGAAGGGTAGAACAAGGGAAGGTCAAGGCTTTCCTCTCATTACTCTTTCCACGGCAAAGTCAGCATCTTAGCCCGAAGAGCAAGGATTTCCTCCTCTGCGTCTGCTGCTATTGATGTGCCGATCTGGCGTTATTAAAACCCCCATGTATCTATTGTTTAACAGCTCAAAGAATCCAACTCCAGCAGCATATTAACTGATATAGACGGAACGCGCCCCACATTTTTAGGATGTTCCTATCGAACACATATCCTACCTGTAAAGGGAAGATCGGGCAAGACCCTTATCTGTTCTTCTCATTCGTACTGTACTCTTTATAGAGAATCTGTCAAAGAATATGAGACCTTTGCAGAAGGCAATCGGCCGGAAATCGATGCCTTACAGCATAATCATGGACTTGGCTTAGCTTCCTCCAAAAAAGAAAAAGCTAGTGGTAGGCTACAAATAAGTGAACTTTAGGTAATAAAGTAACTAGTTATCTCTCAAACAGCGGTTACGCCTTTTCCTAATGCCCTTACTAAACCACCAACTACGGTTATTCCGCAAAGACCGGATAAGGCGCATCTATCTTTCTGTAAGCGAAGGTATCGAATGACTTTCTATTCAGCTTAGTAATCAATTCCATCGCTTACTGTTCTCCTTCGGATCCTTAGTAAGTAGTCAGTATGTTGCTTGTTTAGTAAAGGTCACTTCCCTTTTATTGCTAAAGAAACTTTATCACCATCTCCTGGGCGATCCGTTCAGAGTCCTTTCCCATTCTACCTAGGGCAACATGTTGAATGAATATTCCAGAGAGCCAAGAGAGAATGAACTGCCAATAGACTTGAATGAAAAGCTAAATAGAATAGAATTGATTACAGTTGCAAAATCAGAATAATCAGAACTATTCTTTATCTTCTTACCGTTCGTGACCCTATTAGTGAGCCAACAAGCAACAAGTAAACTTCCAAAGCTTCTAACAAGCAAGCTTCAATCGGTAAAATCCCCGAGTGAGGTGCCCTAACGTTATACTATAGGCTTGAGCTAATCATTCCTTCCTCTTGCGAGCAAGCGATTTCACATTCTTCTCCCTATCAGGCCTTTTGTCCTCGTAAGCAACGGTATTCCATCACTTAGTAGCTATGGTATTAAATCACTCGAGCTAAGCGAAGAGGTATGAGATCACTGAAAGGAGAGGATTGAATCGGATGCTCGGATGATCGACCGATAGGGAAAGGTTACAGCTGTAAGAAATGCGGTTACTACACTCTGATTTATCTGATTCTCGTTCGCCCACTTTACTTCTTCCTTCTTTGGCGCTGCTGGAGATACCCCACAAGGCCTTCTTTCTCAAGATTTCACGCGGTGAACAAAAGGAAGCAACGCCGCTACAAGCAATAGAAAGCAACGTTTATTAATCCATTTCAGTAGGTGGCGGTGTACACTAAGTATCAACAAAGGACGCTTTCTCTCACCCAGCCCTTTGGAGGTGTTAACTCTTCGCCTTCGGCTTTCTATTGAATGATCCATATGGTGTTCTATTTATACTCCCCCAGTTAGGGCTTCTCCCTTTTCAATCTACAAGGCATACGTACACGAATGAATATTCAAACTCATCGACTCGGCTCAAAGCATATGATCAAAGCTCTAGTGGCGCACATAGCAATATCAGAATAGAATTATCGTCGGCCTGACCAGCAGTAATAGCGAACTAACATTGTTCTAATAGAAAGGGGGAGTCCCTCTTTGCGGTAGATAACGCAACCAAACACAAAATGAAGCTTTCAGTCTCGTAAAGCATCTGGGCGAGCCGGAAACAGCCAACGAATCGATAACTGAACAAGAGGAAGTAGAGCGTCTGATGACTCTATATGCTGTACCACATACTAAGACCTAAAGTTGTTCTTAATAGAAGTCCCCAGGAGCTGGTTCCTTGAAAACTCTTCCCTTGACTTCTATACGAACTGGTCAAAATTTCACTTCTTTTTCTTCGCCTCTATCAATTCCTTCGTCGAGAAAGAAAGCAATAAACGCTCGGGTGGAGGAGGAATTTTGTACCAAAAGCAAGTCGGTTCACCCCCCCTACTAAGCATACGTTTATTACCAGATCCGATAACAGCGATTCTCTGTCTCTGACCGGGAGGTATCACATCTACAGACATTAGCCCCAAATGCTAGGTCGCATTATTAATTAATAGTAAGTCGCTACATCATGCTTTTGAGGAAGCTAGGAAAAGAAAATAGAGACTCCCTCCTAAGAAAGGATCTGCTAGCCTTTCTTTCCCGTCCTGTCATCCAGCAAAACATTAGGCTTAGCTTATATAAATGTGTTGGTTGGAGCAATGGGATTTGATTCCCCTAATCTACGATCACCCTCTTCAATCTATATTCGACAGCTTGAAGAGGGCTTGCTTCTTGCTAAAGATAAATTATCTCATTGAAGAAGGCATCGCCTGCCCAATGACAAGCAAAAGACGAAGAAGGAACTTACTAGACCTCCTTGCGCCCATAGCTTGACCTCAGCCTTGAACTTCCTGCACGGAAGCCTTCCCTTCCTGGTGCACAGACAAACCATCTTTAGTGAAGTCCCTCCTTCCCCTAAAGCATCCATTTCGTCAAAGAAGGACGGAGCAGGCACACTTACTACTCTGATTGGGCGTGGACTGGGAAAAATAAGTAGAAGCTAAAGGAAAGCTATAAAAAAGGTATTGGCAAAGAAATTTCTAAAAGAAAGGAAAGAGGCACCACTCACAAATCCTTTCTTTCTTGGTTTCGCTACCTGTGATCAAAACAATTAACGTATTAGATCTATCCATCTTTTGGTCCAGTCAAGAAGGAAGATAGGAAGAGGCATCTGTCTATCTAGCCCTTCAGTACACATTACAGGTTCAAGTCCTCTATTTATTTGTCTTAGTTGTTCGTGGTCAGAAGGTTGAGCATAGAATGGCAGTTTCGCGTACTCCTCTGTCTTTTTCCTATCTTCTCTCGGAATTAGGTGTAGCTATATCATAAGCTCATGTTTCACAGATATTTACTTTGATTTATCTTCCATGGCTAATGTAAGGAAATGGGACGACTCTTTCTTGAACTATATAATAAAAATATCTTCCCCTCCACACCAATCACGAGTTTTTCTCCATTCCTCTCGTATATCGTCGTAATGCCCTTAATACTAGGTTTTGAAAAAGACTTTTCATGTCATTCCCATTTAGGTCCGATTCGGATCCCTTCGTTGTTTTCTTTTCCTCCCGCACCTTTTCCTCGATATGATAAAGAAGATGGTACACTCGAATTTTATTATTTAAGTGCTTTTTGCTTGCCAAAGATCCTACTTCTACAATTGGTAGGTCACCGGGTTATTCAAATAAGTTGTGTTTTATGTGGTTTTCCCAGATCGATCTTCCCCAGCCTTGCCATCGAGAGTGATACTTTATCCAAATCTTTCATACCCTTGTGGAAAGCATCTTGATTGGAGTTATAGGAGAGCGATAAGCGAAGTGAAGAGGCTGGTATGCTATAAATGAGCGATAGCCTTTTTGTTAGCCCCAATCCATCCTCCTGATAGTCTGATTATCTGTTATTCAGGTAGCTAGGGGGTAAATGGCTTCATCATCTCAGTCCGGTCTTACTGTAGCCTCACGGAGGCCTGGTCAATAAGTTAACAGATCTTCCCCCTGGTAAGAAGTTCCTATTTTATCTACTACCCGCTCAAACGTGCCGCTTGTCGTCTCAATCTTTCTTAAGAAGCCAGAGCAAGTGCATGTGCCTAATACTCAAATTAGGTTCTCTTTCCACTTTGACTTCGACTATTCTTACTTCCTCGACTCGACCCCGAGATCTCGAATTCTTAACATACTCTTCCTCTGCTGCCAATTAAGTAGCACGAGTGAAAACTCTTCCCTCTTGCCCTTATTCGTTCATCCCCTTTTCTTTCTTTTCGTAGGCTCATTCTAGTTCGGTTGGTGAGTACGATATCACTCAAGTAGGTCATGTAGAAGGGGATTCGTGGTAGTGATATAAGCGCAGGCCTACAGAGAATCAACTCTTGCAAGCGAGCCAAAAGCGAGTAGACCGAATTGCTTGCTTATGTGAGGTTCTTTCCTCTCGCTTGTTCATCTTGTTTTGAGTACTCGACGAAATAATAGCATAAGAGAAGATATTGGACAATTGTGTCCACTTCGATATCACACCTATTTGAGTCGGGAGTTCCTCCTTTGATTCTAGCCTTGCTTGGGAGGGAACCAAAGAGTATCTCAGATAGCCTTTTTTGCGTTCAGGCATGCCCATATTCAGCGACCTACTGGATGCTGGATTAAGAAAGGAATAAACAACACGAGTTGCCGCGCTATCGGAATACAATTGATTCAACTAGCACGTATGGATAGGTTGGGCATAGCTATTTCAATCTCTCTCGCACTCGCTCTCCTGATTGACCACACTGAATCGATACAATGAAGATAACAGATGGGAGAGTGACCCTAAGTACAATTATTGCCCTATGAGGTACCGTATTGGGCTCATGTTTTTCTTTTGCCCATCATGCATCAGGGGTGATCCATTAAAACATTGTCCATAGGCCCGACTTAATGGGGATCCATTTACATAATCATAATCTAACCAGTGGTCACATTCAAAGGATATAAGAATCGGTCTATCATGCACTTAGTTTAATCTAATGGATCCTTGGTGCATACTTTATCAGGTAATTTTGCCGAATATGATTGATCGACGCATGCGAATAGCTAGAAGAGGGGAAGACTGGCAGAGGATAAAGTCATGGGGTTTGGTTTTGCATATCATCATCCTAAGTGGTTGAATCCAACCTGAGGTATGTTATATTATAGATAGAGATCTTGATTGATGCATGAGTCTTCCTTTCTGATTTTTAGTATAGGTTTCCGCCTCATCTGGTACATGTATCTAAGCTAGTAGTATCAAGTCGACGATACATTAAGACTTGTTGTTCGATAGGAAAATATAGGAACTATTACCACCCTATTATAATATAATAATAGAATTACGGACCCATATCTACAAATAGGATATCCGTGAGAGACTTTCTTTTACTAAAAAGAATGAATGCATTTATTGCATTTCAAGTGAGATGTCCAAGAGAAAAGGAACGAGGTTTTGAAGCGACGAGAACAAAAAATCGTGAATGAAAGAGCGTGACGAGTTTTTCTCCATTCGAGATGTTAGAAGGTGCAAAATCAATAGGTGCCTGCTACAATTGCTTCAGCGAGAGCTGCTGTTGGTATTGGAAACGTATTCAATTCATTAATTCATTCCGTGGAAAGAAATCCATCATTGGCAAAACAGTTATTCGGATATGCAATCCCGGGCTTTGCTCTAACCGAGGCTATTGCCTTGTTCACATTAATGATGGCCTTTTTGATTCTATTTGTTTTCTAAGTTTATCCTTTTGAAAGGTGTAGTCCCTGAGGACGAGGCCCCCAGCAATGGGGGGGAAAGAAGAGTGGGTACACGGGCTTCTTTAACTTTCGTTTTGGAGAGAGCATTGTGGAGTAGCAAAAGGCATATAAATAAGGGGAAGCGGAGGATTCCCCGGAAAAACGCCTTAAAATAGCGAAGGTTCTGGAGGAGCTTTCCACAAACCGTGATTCCTTGGTAAATGAAAATTCGGGACAAAAGGCGGCCTACGATTTTGTTTTATTATCGCCGTGCACGATTGGGAATCAAAGGGACTAGCAGACGTACCATGAGACTTTCTCGTCGTTAGTTTGCTTGCTTTGGTTTGTTTTCGGGGAGAGGTGAGCCGCTTACGCTGTGAGGATACAAGAGCTCTCGAGCTTAGAGAAGTTCCCTAGGCCAGACAGAGGTCTAGGGGGAGTCCGGATAGAGGACTCTTTAAACTAAACCGGTGGGCCCGCATATGTAGGAAGGCTTAAGCTTTCGAACTGCGTAAAAAAAGCGACTCCTTCTCCTTGTTGGTGTAAGATAGGTGTTGGTCCGATTCACCGATGTAAGTTATAACCTGACGGGTCGTTCGTGTGGAGAATCTCTCTCGTGACTCAGGATTTCTTGATCTTAGAGTGACCCTACCCAACTAACTCTCTCTAAGTAAGAGCTCGCCCTAACTTAGTCTTCTCGATAGGAATGAGAGAAAAGGTCAGTCCTTCTCCTGTGAGAGACTCCGAAGTGGGCTGCTTTCAAGGGCTAAAGTTTCCCTGTTTCGACGTGAGATTGGCTTAGCTTGGTCTTTCTGTGTACCTAGAGTCAGTCTTCCCATAGAGCTTCAAAGATTCTAGTCTGGTTCGAGAAGCCTTATAAAGTAGGATCCTTTTTTTAGTAAAGTACCCGTGGGATTCGATTTGCCAACTGATCCGAGGGTCAGGAACAGGAAAATAAGAATAAGTAGGACAGGCTCGAGGTCAATTCTTTCTTTTAGGAGAGATCCCACCCCCCTTCTTTAGCGCTTGTTCGTAATAAAAGACTTCATTCTCGTTCTCGGTCGGTGAAGGAATCAGAGCAGCTATATAATTAGCATCTGACTCTTTAACGGCAAGCTCAGCAATGATAAGTTTTCCTCTGCTTTCCAGCTCTAGTTTAGTTTTTTCTTAAATAAAGCGGTGGTAGCGCATCGAGATTTCATAACCGCAGTGAGAGTTGCCGCTGCTGGGGTAATACCCTCAGTAAGGATACCAGTCTTAGGAAGATAGCTAGACTCGGTTGTGAAAGAAGGAGCTGTTGGCTGGTGGAGTAAGCACTTTTCTTGTTACAGTATCCTTTGTTAACGTAGACGTTGTTGGGACTGATTCCTTGCCTACTTTGTGTGGAAGTGCGTAAAGTAGGCTCAGCTTCTTTGGTAGTAGGTGCGATATTGAAGGAGTTCAGGGCTAAGGACTAGAGCTTTATTCCCACTCCCAGTAGAGTAGTCTGTCTTCAGTAGTTCGCTTGGAAAGTCGTTTTTTGTAAGCAGGAGCGTAGCGCTTCGCGGGTAAAGGGGCTGGATTAGCTTCTTCCCTTTATAGTGGCTTCTGTCATTTTCACAGAAAAAGATAAATTCCCCCTATCTCTACTTCTGCTAACGAACGCTAGAATTTGGATATCAAGAAAGAGGGTAGACCGTAGAAGGTTCAACAAAGAAAAGCAAGTACATTCGAGCATTCGATTCAGGCCCTGCAAGCCACGAAGCGAGAGCAGCTGCCAAAGAAAAGTTTAGAGGGACTCGTTGAATGAAATCTTATATAATAGATTAGCCAATGATCTCATTAACAGAAGCAAAAGGTCATAGACCAAAGAAAGGGGACGAGCTATATCCCACTATGAACGAAAAGATGCACAAGCTAGATCCATTATCCAATTCCTTTGACTTGAACCTTAACTTATACAATCTGTATAGTTATAATTCATGTACGAATCTGGAACTAGGAATTGATTCCCATCTCGGTCAATCAATCGGCCCTCCTAGGCGAGGAGGAGCAGCTAACTACTTTCTACATAGCACACGTTCAGGATAGGGGACTTTAGCAAGTACTGCTGTGATCTTTGCCTTTAGCCTAGCAGTAGGAGGATTCTGTATTGCCGCTTTCATGTGACCACGAATGGCTCTTATTCTTAGGAATCCTATCTTCCTAAACATCGTCTCGCATGCTCGGCCAGTAAGTACCTCTGCTTTTTTTTGTCAAGGCCTAGTGGTCCACATAAACCATTTTGTGTCTAATCTAATAGCTAATGTCGAAACTTCTGTACAGAATGTACCATGTGAGTCCTTCTCTTTCAGTTATGGTGTAATTGCGCTCTGTCGGTGACAACCTCCTACCCCACAGACAGTGAGTGGGATGATCCAGTTTGGAAGGCCCTTCTTGAACCAATGTATAATATATAGAGGATCCGAGAAAGAAATCTATCTCAGGGCGAAAGACATCTTTTTGACCCGGGTCCCTAAGTCCGTAACTGAAAATAGCCTTTCTTTTCCATTCAAAAATGAAGCAAGGAGTGGTTGAGAAATGTAGTCTAGCCGTAACCGCTACAGTCAAAAAAGTCAAGTAAGAAATGATAGAATGAGGTACTTTACTAGCTTGGCCAAAGGGGAAAGGACTATTCAAGCATTCATTCCAATAGGGATGGGGAAGATCTTCTAATGCTTCTAATCCACCCAAGAATGGGGAAAGGAACTTAGTCCGATCTTCTTCCGCCTACGCTACGTCAACTGGACTTTTGTCACTATAGTAGCGAGTAGCTCGAAAGTCGCAATAGAAAGGATTTAGGGGGAAGAGCTCAGGTCCGGCGATGACTACAAGAAAGAAATCGAGCAAGGATAAATCCAATTTCATTGCCAGAAGGTATGGTTGTGCCTGAAGAAGGGCAGTCAGAAGAGGAGAAATCAGCCTGAGTTCAATTAGTCCCAGCGTTATCAGTACAAGTAGCCAGGGGAGTGTACTAAACAGTTGAGGAAGGAGAGTTTGTTAAGGAGGCAGCACGACACAATAAATAAGATCCGAGTGAAGCATAATTTTTTACTACCTCAATCAATGCCCGAGAGCATTCAATAAATCTTCTCTTCCTCTATCTACCACTGCCTCGGTTGGTCGGTCAGGGGGCTTCCCTCTGCCAAGAATTGAGAGAGGATATTTCGCTTTTACTCAGTACACAGATTCGGATTATTCAAAATATAACTAGATAGATTCACTCCCAGATTGGAAGGAGGAAAGTAGGTCTTTTAGGCCTACCTCACATTTGTCTTCTATGAGGGACGAGGGAAAGGCGGATTAGGATGAAAGGATTTTTTAGTTCATACCAGGCACAAAGGCCTAATCAAACCAGCAGGCGATAAATTCCCGATTAAAGTCTTGGAGGAAGGGTGGCTACTCTCTCTTTTGAGATTGTCAGAGCCAGGAGTTTAAGAGCGACAGTCCTTATGCCGACAAGAAAGGGGAAGACTTGAATAGCAGACAAAGTGGAATATGACTCACTAGGAAAGAAGAGATCAACGCTTTGGTTAACAGTTGGAATTCTCCCTCGTAAGGCAGGCTCTAGTTCGACTAGCGTTTATCTGGAACATGGTTAACTGGAGATCGTATTCTCAATCCTAACGGCCAAGGAAAAGAATAAAAAATGAAAGGTTGCAGCCATTCAGTAACACAACCCCTCTGTCTTTTCCAACAAACATGAGTTGAAAGAATCCCCGGAATTAGACTACAGAAGTCAAGCCTTCTAAGAAACTAGCAAATTGACCCTCAGCTCGACCAGTCACTTGACTGTAAGAACGACTAGAAGGAGAGGACTTTGACAGCTCTATGTTTCATGAGGTCGAACTTCGAATGAGCTATACACTCTAGGAGAAAGCCACTCTACCGACAGGGTGGTCACCGACGTTTCAAGGCGCTCGCTCTAGTGAGTTAAGGTGTATGATCAGGCCTCCTACATGGTATCCCTGCCTTACATCAATTCGATAAGCTCTCACTAAGTAATTGAAGATAATTGGGATACCACTACCGATAAATCCAAGACATCGGTTAGCCCCAATTGGTAGATAAAAAGCCTTTCTTTCTACCCTTCACCACACCATGTGGATGGGGTTCATAACTACTCCTCTTACTACAAGACGCTTACCTAGCCACTCCGGCTCTGCCCAAACTTTTCTGGTTTACTCCAACATTCCCTACTTGTCTGACTGTTGCTGAGCTGTTTTTGGATATCAAACGGACCTCTCCAGAAGGTAATTTTAATGTAGCCCCTCTTTTGCAATAAGTTTCGCTACAGCACCTGCTTCTCTAGCTAATTGTCCACCCTTTCCAAGTGTTATTTCTATGTTATGTATGGCCGGTTGAAGTATATTCTTATTTTTAATCAATCAGTTCCATGGCTTACTAATATATTCATTCTTGCATAATTAAGAAAGCGTTAAAAGCGTTACGCACCTTAAGCACTAGAAGGAATCCGGAAATAGGTTCATCCCTTAGATCGATCTTCCCCAGCCTTGCCATAAAAAGTGATACTTTATCCAAATATTTCATACCCTTGTGGAAAGCATCTTGATTAGAGTTATAGGAGAGCGAGAAGCGAAGTGAAGAGGCTGGTATGCTATAAATGAGCGATAGCCTTTTTGTTAGCCCTAATCCATCCTCCCGATAGTCTGATTATCTGTTATTCAGGTAGCTAGGGGGTAAATGGCTTCATCATCTCAGTCCGGTCTTACTGTAGCCTCATGGAGGCCTGGTCGATAAGTCAACAGATCTTCCCCCTGGTAAGAAGTTCCTATTTTATCTACTACCCGCTCAAACGTGCCGCTTGTCGTCTCAATCTTTCTTAGGAAGCCAAAGCAAGTGCATGTGCCTAATACTCAAATTAGGTTCTCTTTCCACTTTGACTTCGACTATTCTTACTTCCTCGACTCGACCCTGAGATCTCGAATTCTTAACAGACTCTTCCTCTGCTGCCAATTAAGTAGCACGAGTGAAAA